AAGAAAATGGAAGCATCTGGAATGTTGAAAATAATTACTGGAAAGGAAAAAAATAAGTATCTCAAAGCGACCTATGTAAATTTTAGGTTAATGATTGATAAATTAATTACTATATACATGTACTTGTTTGAAGGGTGGGGGGGGGGGGGGTCGGAAATTGAAAAAAGGTGCAATGTACCTTGAGGTTTGCCCAGCATGCGGAAACCAATGTGCAAGTACTACGGGCCACAATGGCCTTGCTGTACTTAGAATGAGATCAGTTAAAAGTTTCTTCGGGAAATTGTATACATCCCTCCTAACAAGGTAAAGAAGAAAAGCAAACGGACAATGAATCACAATGCTCACTTGAGTTATTATGGCCCTACAGTGACTTCAGTGAGTGTTCCCAGTAACAGACTTTTACCTATATTATATGTATAAAAAATATCGCCATCTTTTGTGGCCCCAATTTACACCAAGAGGCATGATTTAACTCTTAGCTCGGAATGACGATACTTGTGAAGGAGTTTTGCTTTCTAATATTTCTAATTCTACTCTGAATAAAATTATTTTTCTGGATAAAAGTTTTAATATTTCTCATTAATACACAATAAAATTGCCACTTTTCCTAAGGATTAAGAATAAGGTTAAAATTTGTGAAAGTGCAAGGATGTGTCAATCAAACCCGCCAAAAAATTTGAAGACTTAATAAATTTAAATGAAATAAGATTTTTAATTAATTTTTGTGTGAAATGCTATCAAAATATATAAGTCTTAATATTATAGAGAAACTATTGACTTCAAATCTGTATCCAAATACCTTTAAGAGTTGAATGATTTTTTAAAAAAGAATTTAAATATCAGCTGGAACAATTTTACAATGTAAAAATTTTGAACAAGATCTTTGACCTGTTGACCTTAACATCAATAATGTCATAAAAAGTTGTTATAAAACACTTCAATGCAAACCTCAAAGGCTTTTTAGATGTGTCCAGAACAAAAATTAAATGAAAACTTTCAAAGAAAAGTATGAATTTCTGAATCTGACATATTGATTTCAACTTTCTAAGGTATTAAAAAGTATGACAAAAATGACATAACCCTGCATGGGAGATTGATATAGTTAAATAATCTGAACAGAATTTTTTGGAAAAAGCAAGCATGTACATCTATTATTATTTTATGACCTTTTAAAATTCATAGCATAAGCTCTAAGGCTACTAAAGTACTTGAAATATTTGGAAAAAAGTGTTACACAGAGGATATATGACAAACAGTGAAGGGGAAGGGAGGGGAAACCCTGGCATAGAAATATTTTAAGGAAGTTCTAATGAAGTTTATGTTATTATTAAATTTAATATGTTTATTACATATTACACTGTAATATTTGTGAAACAATTATGAGTATCTTAATGTTTCTTTCATTTCAAATATTTAGTTATCAGGATTATTGCTTAATAGTCCATGTTTCTTTTTGATATGATTACGTAAGTACAATGGAGTCACAAACTTCCTATAACACAGATCACACGTAAATCTCTCTGTGCCGTGAATCTTTGCATGCTGGTACAAGTCATGCCTTCGATTAAAACCCTTTCTGCATTCAGGGCAAGAATAAGGCTTTTCTTTTAAATGCATCCTCATATGCCGTCTAAGAATAGGAATTGAGCTGAGGCCTCTTTGGCATACATCACACGTGTATGGATGAGTTGTTTCATGGGTTTTCAAATGCTTACTGCAATCTTCTGAATTAGTAAAAGCAGCGTGACAAATTTCACACCGATAAGGAGCCTCAGCCGGATGGACACACTCAAGGTGCCTTCTCAAGTCATACTGGCGGGAATACTCTTTTCGGCAAAATGAGCATTTAAACACTGGCACTTCTTTGTTGGTATGTGTTGATTCATGCCTCAATAAATCTCTTTTATGTTTGAATCTGTGGCCGCAGTCTTCACACTGGTGTGGTTGTACAGCTTCATGAGAATACAGATGAATTTCAAGTTTGCTCTTCTTATCAAAAACCTTTTTGCAAACGGAGCACGTGAAAGTGACTTCTTTCCTGTGTACCTCCAAAGAATGTTTCTTCAGCTCATGAAGCTTCAAGAATGTCCCAGAGCATTCCTCACATCTGTAGGAACTTTGCTTTGTTGAAGTCTTAGCAGCTTTATTTTTTCCCTTTGTTGATGATTCCGAGCTTGATTTCACTTTTTTTGCTGACTTCTCTGTCTTCTTTTTGACACTGTCCTTAGATCTAGTTACCATTGCTATCTTCACACTTGAGGAATTTTGGGAAGTTTTACTGTTAAAGCTCTTGGATCGTGTAACCATACTTTCAATGTTACTAGTCTTTTGTGAAATTCTCTTATTCTTCTTCATGTCCTTGGAATGAGATTGTATTTCTCCAGAAATTGCATTATTATGGTTTGGTAATGGTAAACTCTCTTCTTGGTTTAAAGGCTCTTCACACATATGAAGCTGAAGTGCAGAAAACTTGTTGAATTCTTTTTGACAAACTTTACATTTCAGATGTTCATCATTGGTTTCCCTTCTTTCATCCCATTTGGATTTTGAATTTGTAATCACTTGAGCTTTGCTATTAGTATCAATAGCAATTTTACCATTTTCAGCAACATCATATCCATGACAGACATCCACTTCTGAAGATGGACTGACACAAATGTTAGATGATGTGGTCTCATTCACAGGGACAAGAGATTCTGGATATTCACCTGTATGAGAATTGAGATTTAAGTCCTCATCATGTTTGGTATCGATATCAGATTTAGAACAGGTATTCAGATTCTCAATGTCTGCCAATGGGTTGCTTTGTTTGCTTTGGTTCTTAAAATTTATAGTGTTAGGTGATGGAACTACATCATCCACTGCTACTGCTTTTTCTTTGACCAAAGAATCACTATTTTGTGAAGATGATCTGACATTCTCAATTTCTTCATTTTCAGCCTCATTGCTTTCTGGATTGCATATTAGTCCTTTGGAATTAGCTATGGCTGATAAAGTGTTTCTTTTTTCCACATAATCAATATTCTCAGAATCAGAGTCAGAATCCCCCAAGCGTTCATCATTATCATTCTCAAAACTGAAATCATCAAAATCCTCCTCTTCACTTTCTTTATATAAATCCATTTCATCGGAATCTGTGTCTCTCTTTAATGCCTCATTTTCTTGAATTTCTGAAGATGATTTGTTATCAGATTTTTTATCTTTCAGAGCTGAAAATGATTTAGTGGATCCCTCAGGTGTCTGGTTATTTTTTGAGCTCACCACTTCATTGGTCATCTCCTCATCTTCCTCGCCTGAAGAATCCAGGTCACAAACATGGAGGTGTAATGAAGAAAAGCTTGTAAATGACTGTGAGCACATTTTACACACAAGCTGACTACCATGCTTAGCTTTTTCAACTTTCTTTTTCAATTGAACTTTCTTTTTCACTTTTTTAGGAGCATCTCCATTTGCGCCAAACTTCCGTCCTTTCCAGATTTTTCCCATTGCATTATGACGCCGCTTATGGATGGTTAGGTCACTGAACCACGCAAATTTTGATGGACACAAATCACACTGGAACTTTCTCTCACCAGTGTGCATCCTGACTGTGTGTCGATACATATCATGCTCACGTCCGAATTCTCGCTTACATATACGACAAACAAAGGGCTTTGGATCTAGATGGGCCTTCATATGCCGTTTCCAAGCGTTACTGTTCTTGAATCCTTTTCCACAAACTTGACAGCTGAATTTCATTTCCTGTGAATGACCACTTTCGTGAACTCTCAATTTCTCTTCTGTACTAAACACAAACTTGCACTGTTCACACCTGAATGGCTTTTCTGCAGTAGCAGTGTGACAAATGTCAACATGTCTTTCCATGTCATGTTTGCGACTGTATGTTCTGTGGCACTGTAAGCAAGGATATCTCCTCGTAGACTTATCTTCCATTACGGACTCTTGTTTTACTGCAGAGCCTGTGTGGCTTATGTTACTGGTTTCTTCCTGGAAAAAAAATTAAAAATCTAAAAACATCACTTCATGCTTATTGCGTGTACTTAACAGACCTATTCTCTTTAGAGAAGTGGACAGGTTTTCGCCTACATGCACTTCTTGCAGGCCTTCATATTGTTAAATTTTGGAAACGGTATAATTGTAGAACTGGAGACGGCCAACACTTCAACTAACATTTCGTCTGAAATATGTCTGATTATACGTAACAGACATGTTAAATAAACAATTTCAACATACATACACACAACAATACCGTTTCCAGAATAACAATATGAAAGCTTGTCCACTTCTCGAAAGAGACTGTGTTCTGCATACTTCAAAGTCACCTATCTGACCACAGACTTATATACTTTAGAGTTTGTGTATTGTAATATTATTCCTTGCATTTTGAGATGGGCCCCTAAATGTTATTTATTGAATTTACTTAACTGTTCATGTTTTAAAGTTGTAAATTACAGGAAACTTGCATTTTGCAATATTATATTATACTCAGGTACTTATTTATAAGGTTTAATGCATGTAACTTATTTATTACTAGACAGTTGTAATGTTTGTATCTTACGCAGTATTTATATGGAGGAAATTCGAACTGAAATGTTACACGTGCCTTTCATTTGTTGGCATACATGTGATTCTTCAGACGGGAGGCAAAATCTCCTGATTTTTAACCCCCCTTCTGCCCCTCCCGATTAATTTTTAAATCTTCCGTGTTTAAAATAATTCTTCAAATTAATTATATTTGTTAATTAGCAAAAGTAAATAATTTAAAGTCACATATTCAGGGTTAATCTCTGAATCAGACTTATTTCAGTTCTGATTTGTATTTTTGGGAGAAATTGTAGAAAATGGGGAATAAATTTCATATTGGTTTGAGGAGGCTATTAAATTAATATTTTGTTATAAAAGGATTATTGCACTCAATAAAGGGTGGAACTTTAAGCAGACTATTTTGTTTCTTTGGTACAATAGTACCTGGTGTCAGAAAAAATTGAATAAATAAAAATTAAAACTCCTAAAGATAGCTAACTGCACCATCCTGACAAAACGAATTTGGCAGTTCAGAGTGTCAGCACGTTACAATACTGTTATATAGGTCCCTGATCTGACATCAACTGATCAACATATTGAAAAGTTTCAGAACACTTGTGCCACTGTCCCATTTGGTTTGATTTTATTTGAATAATAACCATGCACATTTAGTCGTTAATTTAAAAATATACTTTTTAGAACTTTTTATATAATAATGATAACAGAAGATCAAGCTGTAAGAGCTACAATCAGGAGTTGGTGACTCCGCATAATGAGGAAATTCGAACTGATTACATTAAACGGAGATCTAGAAAAAGAAAGTAACATGCGTACTTGCATTTTGTATGTAAATCCGACTTTTCATATCATCAACTATTTATGTATCTGAAGCATTGCATTTCAAATAAAATCGCTGCATAAGCAGCTAAAAAACACAAACACGTCCAAGTTGTCTATAAGCCTCGCTTTGAATAAGTCCGGTAGAAAAGTGATTTGTCTCCATGCCTTTTAGGACCTCCATTACAATTAAGTACAGATGATACAAACAGATTTTTTCTTTGAAAAAGATTTTATATCATGTCACAAGTTTAGAAAAGTGGATGGTTCTTAGAATTTTTTATCCTAAGAACTGGAATATGAAAAAGACTTGGAAAATATTAGTAATATTTCAATGAAAAAACAAATATAGACAAATCACATTCATAAAAGGTTTACAGGTGAAAACAAATTTCAGAATATGTTTTAAAACATGGTGCTAAAAGTGTAATGTAAACTTAAGAAAAATAAACCAAGCCAGGTGAATTTTATAAGGAAAAGGTAAATGGTAAAAATCAGCCTATATATGTGATATTGCTAATTTTTTATCATTTTGATCTTCCTCTTCAAATTCACCTGGCTTGGTATATTTTTCTAAAGTTTATATTACACTTTTAGCACCAAGATAACATATTCTGAAATTTGTTTTCACCTGTAAACCTTTACTGAATGTGATTTGTCTATATCTGCTTTTTTATTGAAATATTACTAGTATTTTCCAAGTCTATTTCACTTTCCAGTTCTTCGGAGAAAAAATTCTAAGAATCATCCACTTTTCTAAACTTGTGACATGATATTAAATCTTTTTCAAAGAAAATATTTGTTTGTATCATCTGTCCTTAAACGCAGCAACGACTTCAGTTGATAAAAAGTTTTAAAGTGAAAATCAATAATGTAAATTAATTAGATCTGAAATTAAATTATATTCTGGTTGCATAAAGGGTCGGATGTACTTTTTAGATAAAATAAAATGGTGGTGGTGGGGGGGGGGGGGGGCGGGGGGGGGGGGGGGGGGGGGGGTGAATCAAGAATATCAAGCGTCTCGTTGGATGACATAATTTTGCAGAATTAATTTTGTAGTCGATGTATTGTCGCAGACGTTTTCCAAATAAATTGTTAGCCCATTAAATACATACTGGATTAATTGGCTCTACTATTCAGAGACTAGCTAGAAGAACTTACGCAATAGTAATGTGTCCGTCGTCCGTCTGTCTGTCTGTAAACAATTTTTCAAAAATGCCACTCCTCTTACAGTTTTGGTTTGATTTCAATATAACTTGGCACTCAAGTTTTTGATTTCGATGAACGGTGTTGCCGTGGTTTATGGCACCCCAAATTCAAAAAAGTCGATAAACCTAGTTTATCAATTGTGAAACTAGGTTTAGCTAATTTTTGAGAATTTGCCAAATTCACAAAAATGAGCAAAACATAGTTTCACAGTCGATAAACTAGGTTTATCGGTTGTAAACTATAGTTTACGGACTGTAAACTATTAATAGCTAACAACGTTAATCTATATTTTACGTTTGTAAATCAAAGTTAACGCGATAATCTATGCTTCACAACCGTATACTAATCTTAACACTGAAAACAATCATTTTCGATAGATTATCTGATAAATACAGTTTCACGATTTGTAAACTATGGTTTACAACTCTTAACTATAGTTAACGATCGTAAATTATAGTTTACAGACGTGAATCTATGTTTATCAACAAAATCTATTGTTAACATTTTATTACAAACATATAAACTTAGATTAACATTCGTAAACTATAGTTAACAACCGTTAAATATAGTTTTACAGGTGAAAACAATAATTAAGGAATTGTAAACCATAGTTTACGGTTGGTAAACAATAGTTTACAGTCGATAAACCTAGTTTATCAATTGTGAAACTAGGTTTAGCACGCCAAATTCACAAAAATGAGCTAATCATAGTTTCACAGTCGATAAACTAAGTTTATCGGTTGTAAATTATAGTTTGAGGACTGTTAACTATAGTTAACAACGTTAATCTATATTTTACATCTGTAAACCATGGTTAACGCGATAATCTATGTTTCACAACCGTAAACTATACTTAACACCTATGGCACGCCAAATTCACAAAAATGAGATAAACCTAATTTCACAATTGATAAACTAGGTTTATCGACTGTAAACTATAGTTTACAAACCGTAAACTATATTTAACGATTCGTTAAGTATAGTTAACGATTCGTTAAGTATAGTTTTCATCTGTAAAACTATATTTAACGGTTGTTAACTATAGTTTACGAATGATAATCTAAGTTTATCTGTCTTTAATAAGCGTTAGCAATAGATTTTGTTGATAAACATAGATTCATGTTTGTAAACTATAGTTTACAATCGTAAACTATAGTTAAGAGTTGTTAATCATAGTTTCACAAGTCGTGAAACTGTATTTATCAGATCGTTAACTATAGTTAACAGTTTGTCAACTATAGTGTACAAATCGTGAAACTGTATTTATCAGATAATCTATGTTTTGCAATCGCAAATGATTGTTTTTGGTGTTAAGTATAGTTTACGGTTGTGAAACATAGATTATCGCGTTAACTATGGTTTACAGATGTAAAATATAGATTAACGTTGTTAGCTATTAATAGTTTACAGTCCGTAAACTATAGTTTACAACCGATAAACCTAGCTTATCGACTGTGAAACTATGTTTAACTCATTTTTGTGAATTTGGCGTGCCATAAACACCAAAAACAATCATTTGCGATCGCAAAACATAGAATGATAATCTGATGAAATACAGTTTCACGATTTGAAAACTATGGTTTACAACTCTTAACTATAATTAGCGATCGTAAATTATAGTTTACAGACGTGAATCTATGTTTATCAACAAAATCTATTGTTAACGTTTTATTGCAAACAGATAAACTTAGATTAGCATTCGTAAACTATAGTTAACAACCATTAAATATAGTTTTACAGGTGAAAACTATACTTATCAAATCGTTAACTTAAGTTTACGGTTTGTAAACTATAGTTTACAGTCGATAAACCTAGTTTATCAATTGTGAAACTAGATTTAGCTCATTTTTCTGAATTTGGCGTGCCATAGTGGTTACTAAAAATAGAAATTTCTGTGAAAACCTTTCAAAATTCTACTCTTCCTACAGTTTTGGTCTGATTCAATATAACTTGGCACACAAGTAGACAACTAAGATACATAATTATGTTTGTATACCGTTTTTTGATTTCGATGAACGGTGTTGCCTTGGTTACTAAAAATAGAACCTTTCAAAATGCTACACTTCCTACAGTTTTGGACTGATTTCAGTATAACTTGGCACAAAAGTAGACTACACTAAGTACATAATTCTGTACATCTAGATTTTGATTTTGATGAACGGTGTTGTCGTGGTTACTAAAAATAGAAATATCTGTGAAATAATTTCAAAAGGTAACTAATCCTACAGTTTTGGTCAGATTTCAGTATAACTTGGCACACAAGTAGACTACACTAAGATACATAATTCTATTAACCAGTTTTTGATTTTTATTAACCATGTTGCCATGGTTACTAAAAATATAAATTTCTGTGAAATCTTTTCAAAATGCTACAGATTTGGTCTAATTTCAATATACTAGTAATCTGGCACACAAATAAATTATACACTAAGATACATAATTATGCTCCCATGACTACTAAAAATAATTTTAAAAATATTTTTAAAAAGCTACTCCAAATACAGTTTTAGTCTGATTATAATATAATGTGGCATGCAAGTAGACTACACAGATACATAATTGTCTTTATCGTTTTTTTTATTTTGATGGATGATATGTTGCCATGGAAACTAAAATTGAAAATTCTGTAAAATTGTATTAAAACTCCTACAGTTGTAGTCTTATTACAATCGTGAAAAAAGAGAATTTATCAAGGATCAGAATTCTATTTATTGCTGCTGTATAGTTTAAAGTCTTAAGTGCGACTTTTCTGTACAAACCACTGGAGCTACAGTATCGACAGAGACTTCTGGTTTTTCTTCTTTTTGCACAATCATGTTAAGGAACACATGGTTGACATGGCCGGTCGATAAGAGGTTTCTGCATTGCATCTGATTCCACTCTTTTGATTTTACAGAACCAATGGTTTTTTGAGCTTGTTTTTTGTTCTCTATCTCCATATTATACGAAATAAAACTAACACAAATAAAAGGTTTCAAGGCAATGGAAGTTCTACAAGAAAATGTAGAAAATACAAATTGAATTTTTATAGTATATTTTTGGCAATTTTTAAAAATAAAAATACTTTGACGCCTTGTTTTGCACCTGGATCCTAAGTAAACGTATAGAAGAGGATGTAATGGGATTCACGGAACAAAGTGGTGTGTATTATTTTCTCTTGCTCTTGCACAGAAACCTGAATTGCATGCATGACGATTATCATGCTCATAATTGTCATCTGTTATAGACCCGTTATATATCTAATAATTTAGTGAACATATGTTGAAGTTTGCCAAAATTTTATGTGTACGGGATAATAAACTTTCAAAATGTTGATCATCTGATCAGCTGATTAACTCTCCATTGGTTGTTACGCTTCACAGCATAGTCGCTAATTAACGACGTGTTTGTTTAGCACAGTCCGCTTTCCTTCGGGCATGCGAGGTGCATATGGCAGTCGTAGTATAAACACAATTAACTACTCAAGTCATTAAGAAAGTAAATTCTTTTATTCCTTGTATCAGCAGATACATCAGATTAACATATTAGTTACATACAATATACTTAGTTGCCATATAAACATATATTACAATGTATTTACACAAGCATTAATAATGTACATATTATACATACATATCTATGTACTACATGTATCATAATAGTGAATCAATATTACTCATTATTATAATAAATTTATTTTACTTTCTCGTAAATGACAAGCTTCTCTTAAAAAATTCCCCAGACCTCTTCATTCCCTTACATTTTGAACACTTAGCAATTGTATTAATTTATATACACTACTATTTTGATAATAATATTTTTTAATATATTTCTTCCTTAAATTTTCATATGTTGGACATTGTAAAATTAGATGAAATTCATCCTCTATTTCATTTAGAGTACACAATATGCATTTTCTGTCATTTCTATTGGTATTTGTGTA